GATGTTATGGGAGACAGTGTCCGAAGCCTGGCTGAAGTGGGAGTAGACAACATCCACTGCTCTGCCCTCGTCCACCCAGCGAGCCATGCCATCATAGAAAGCTGTCAGATTGGTCAAGCATGATCTCCCCTTGGTGAATCCATGTTGACCACTCCCGATAACCTTCTCTCCCTTCACGTGCTTAGAGATGACATCCAGGATGAGCTTTTCCGCAGTGTTTCCAGGGGCGAAGGTGAGGCTGACTGGCCTGTAGTATCCCAGGTCTTCTCCTTTTTGGAGACTGGTGTGACACGAGCTCTCCCCCAGTCCTCAGACACCTCTCCTGTTCTCCATGACCTTTCAGAGATGGTGGAGAGTGGTGTCACAGTAACATCTGCCAGCTCCCGCAGCACTCCTGGGTGCATCCCATCAGGGCCCATGGACCTGTGGGTGTAAAGTTTGCCTAGATGATCTCTAATCCGATCTTCCTTGACCGAGGGAGGGTTTTACTTTCTCCATGCTCTCTCTTACCTCCAGGGTCTGGGGTTCCTGAGGGCCTGAGCAGTAAGGTCTGAATCAAAGACGGCATTCAGCAACTGCGCCCTCTCTGCATGCTCCGTCACCAGGGCACCCTCCTCATTCAGCAGCAGGCCTACATTTTCCCTAGTCTTCCTATTGCTACTGAGGGACTTGAGGAAGCCCTTCTTACTGTCCTTGCAATCTCTTACAGGACAGGTTTAATTCCAAGTGGGCCTTAGCCTTCCTCGTTGCATTCCTACATATTCTGACAACATTCCTGTATTCCTCCCAAGTGGCCAGTTCTGTAAACTTCCTTCTTCCATTTACCTTTTTTCCAGAAGCTCCCTGCTCATCCATGCAGGTTTCCTGTCTCCTTTGCCTGATTTCCAACTCATAGGGATGCATTAAAGTTGATCTTGGAGGAAGTGGTGTTTGAATATTACCCAGCTCTCTTGCACTCCCTCACTTCCAGACCCTTAGCCCATGGGATGCCTCCATGTACAGTAAGAAGAGTTATTCTTTAAAAGGTTCCCATGATCATTGTTTTTAAGGTGACCCTTCATAAAGTCGTTTCATTAGATGAAATGTTAAAATATTCTTAGGCTAATCTTACAGTAAGTGGCACTGGTTCTATGTGTAACCATTACACCAGTAAGTAGTACTTGCGGGGTGTTGAGTTTAAGATTGAGGTGTGTCAAAGTTAGCAGCTGATAAGGTGAAACTAATAAGGTCTTCAAGGATGGGAACAAAAAATAGTGAAGTGTGGGATTGAGTAGCGTCATTTTGGAGTAGACTAGTTTTACTTCTAGCTTCTCCTTATGGGATAGGAAAAGATCATACAGTAAGATTGACAGAACCTCATTTGCAAAGACCTCTTTTCATTCTTTGGCAATTATCCAAGAAAATGGGGAGACAGACTTGGAAGTATCTGTGTTAACTTTAAGGAATTCCATTATGGAATATGAAAGATGGGAAAAAAAGTTTATAGGCAAACCAATTAATAATAGTAAATTGTGCGGGCAAAATGTATGCGTGAAATCTCTGTCCTTGTTTACCTTTCTCAAAACTGATTCACAGGATTTGAAGAGTCAGCTAATTGGTGCAGAAAAATGTTCCAGAACCGATGTATAGACAGACAGCATTGCTTTTACACTAACAGTAGATCAGGTCAGAGTGGTTACACTGTTTAATGACAAAATGCTTAAAATTCTGTCTGCACAACATTTGTTTAAAATTCTGAAAGAGAAATACACGAATGTAGAGGGTTGTTTTCTTAGGTCTACGGATTTTGGGAGAGTAGGTTCAAAAATGTCTCTTCATAGACTTGGAAACTGTCACTTCTTTGTTTTGTTAGAGGAGAGGGAAACTGGTCTAGAAATACTCTGAACAACACCTTTGAAAATTATCAAGTGTCCTGTAAAAAAAGTTTCCTGCTGGCTACGGAGACATTAAATTACAAGTTAATATTTGAGGAAAATGCAAACTCTCTTTCATTTTAGGCTTTCACTTTTGTGGAGCTTTTTTATGGAGTGTGGACCAATAGCCTTGGTCTTATTTCTGATGGATTTCACATGCTTTTTGATTGTTCTGCATTGGTGATGGGGCTTTTTGCAGCTCTGATGACAAGATGGAAAGCAACTCGAATATTTTCCTATGGGTATGTATATTAGGTTACTTAAGGGCTATCTGAAATTTATTCTACTTACTCATTTTCAAAATCCCCTGCTCTAAAGATATGTCAGGATGTTTCAGTGGTACATGCCTCTGTGAGTTTTTTGCTATGTGTCTTTTCTGTTCCATTTGTGTTCATGCTGTTCCACTCTTACCCAGCAAAAAAAGTGTCTGAAATGTAATTTTCATTTATGTCTACAAATAAAACTTTATCACTGTGAATATTATGTAGAAATTGCCTCGCCCAATGTACGTAAATCAAACAAAAATATATACTGAAAGTCAGCGTTCATAGGAGTATTTCAGTTATCCTGACATAATCAGAATTTGTATGGTTAAATGGCATAGCAGTTTAGCAGTTTGAAGCCTTGAATGTGCAGTATATTTAAATAAAATACATTATTGTAGATTTATACTATCGGTGGTTTGACAGTTGCCAACTAGCTGCCTCTTGGTCAGAAATCACCCAGAAACCAAGGCATGATTTTGTGGCATTGAGGAAAAAAATCAAAGTGACCTTAATGATGTGTTAAATGTATTATAACTTCGAAAGTAGTTCAGAGTACATGTGCTCCACTCGCAAAAGTACGTATGTTTGCTTTCAGGTACGGACGTGTGGAAATTCTCTCTGGATTTATTAATGGCCTCTTTCTGATGGTAATTGCTTTCTTTGTCTTCATGGAATCGGTGGCCAGACTGGTGGATCCTCCAGACATAGACACAAATATGCTAACTGTAAGTTTCATCATTCTGCTTGAATGTTGCTTGCCAGTTAATGGTTTGTCTTAGTTTAAAAAAAATAAATAAAAATTAAGGAGACTGAAGTTGCATACTCAAGAGACCTAATCTGTGTCTTGACTTGTTAACATATTCTGATTTTAAAATCCAATCTACATCTAGTTTTAAAATATTAAAATATATAGGGGTGAATATAATTTAATAGTTAAATTGATTTTTTTTTCTAGCATGTTACAGCTCTAATCTTCATAGACGTTGGTCTTTCTATAATGAAAGGTACTAAGGAAATAATCTGTCCAGGAGTAAATTTGGTTCTGCTGTTATGTATACCAATTTCAGTTCTTATAGAAAAGATTTTGTATTATTCTCTCTGACACCTCAAAAATCAGCCAGTTTGTAACACGCTGAGTGTGTTACTGTGGTGTAAACAATCACGAAGCTGTGCGTAGCTGATCTTAACTAGACCTGTGTCTCTCCGCAGCCTCTTCAGGGGTTCCCCACTTAAATTTTCAAGCTTCCATCCCTTTCTCTCAAATGCAGTAGTTAATTTTCTACAAACTTCTTTTTTTAATAATTATAGAAACCTGCAAATCCAAGCCTTCATTTATCACATTTCCAGCTTCATAGAATCACAGACTGGTTGGAAGGGACCTTGATGGTCATCTAGTTCCAGCCCCCCTGCCATGGGCACGGACACCTTCCACTAGACCAGGTTGCTCAAAACCTCGTCCAGCCTGGCCTTGAACACTTCCAGGGATGGGGCATCCACAGCTTCTCTGGGAAACCTGTTCCAGTGCCTCACCACGCTCTCAGGGAAGAATTTCTTCCTGATATCTAACCTGAATCTCCTCACTTTCAATTTAAACCCATTCCCCCTTGTCCTGTCACTACAGGCCCTTGTAAAAAGTCCCCTCCCAGCTTCCTTGTAGGCCCCTTCAGGTACTGGAAGGCTGCAATAAGGTCTCCCTGGAGCCTTCTCTTCTCCAGGCTGAACAAGCCCAACTCTCTCAGCCTGTCCCCATAGCAGAGGTGCTCCAGCCCTCTGATATGCTGAAGTCCCTTCATTTGTTTTCTCTCCCACACTCACACACACATTGGTGCTCTCCTGCTCTCTTCAGTAACAAATATTTTAATGTAGGCACAATTAGGAATGTGCATTGCTGGAACTGAGGCCTCGTTTTCTTTTCCTTTTAATCTTCAATATTTGCTCCATTTTGACTACTGATTTTGTTTCTTGGGGGTGGGAGGCATTACCCCCTCTGCATGAACACAGTCTGCATAGCCAAGGAGAGGTCCAATAAACCCTGAGTAGGCCTTGCTTATCTTCTTTATTAGCTGGAATTACTCTTATGCTAGTTTTCGAAAGAAGAGTAGAAAAATGGGCAGACGGATAAACGGCACAACTCAACCAGTAAAGCAGTAGTTGCTGTCTTCAGTTTTAGATGAGTGTGTGACCCCAGGTGTTTCCAATTACCCTGTTCTAGGAAGATGTAGTCATGCTAAAGACATTTCTCCCTCTCACAGCCAGTCTCTGTTGGAGGACTGATTGTAAACCTCGTCGGTATCTGCGCCTTCAGCCACGCGCACTCCCACGGGGCTTCGCGGGGAGGCTGTCACTCGCACGATCACAGCCATTCTCACCACGGGCACAGCCACGGACACGGCCATTCCCACAGTGACCATGGGCACAGCCATGGGCATTCCCACGGGTCTTCTGGAGGAGGCATGAATACCAACATGAGAGGCAAGTACAGGTTGTTGAATCCTAACTGATGTATGGGATTTCCAGCAGACATCGAAGGTTTTCAGAATCAGACCCTGTACTAGGTGTCGCTCTTAAAATCTCCAGAAATCATCTGACAGCCATTTAGTGTAGGATACATGAATTTCTCAGACTGTTTGTTTATTAGTGACTTTAACTTGAAGAAACATAACTTGAAATGTTTCTTTACATGGATTTCTTAGATGTGGACAATACCTAGGGACCAATAGAAAGAAGTAATCTACAGTATTCATTAATACTAATAAACTGTCATTGTAAGCCTTACTGAAAGATCGCTCATGTCTGTGGTTCTGAGTTCCATCTGGAAATGAAAGTACAAGGTTGCTAGCTACAGACATACCACTATGCTTGTAGATGTGATGTGACAGATGTTGTAAAGACACTGGGGGAGGGGGTAAGAAGCGGAAGAACCAGCAATATAGAATACACTTCTGTTTGTCATTCTGTTTGTGCAATCCCAAGCACAAGTA